CTTGCACTAGTTCCACCAAAGAACAGAATGAATGGGACATAAGTTTGAACCAAGGCCAAAGGCTGAGCACCAGCTGAAGACCCTCAACAGCCTCCACATCCACTTGGTGGTACCATTCGGTACAGACACCAATTGGTTTGGTTTGCAAAATACATCCATGAGCATACCTGAAGACCACTGTCCACTATCTGACAACACGATTTTTCATGTATAAAGCAGTTAAGAGTTTAACACAGCAAGAAACAGTTTTGAACAAAAATAAGAGAGAAAACATTGAAGTACCCACCTATTTATTATTAGATATACGCGACCATTGACTTTGGCATGGCTACGAGGTGGCAGACGGAAGCACAGGGATGCAACGAGGAGACAGGTTGGAGAGAGAGAGAGGAGATTGTTAGACAGAGACGAACGAAGTGGACTCCCTTAAGCTTCCTAGCATTAGGTGTAGCCACCCTCACAGGCTTCATGCCTTAAAGAAGAGTCTAGACAGCAAGATTCAGTAGCAACATTAAATCAGACAATGTTCAGGAAAAATGCTAGACGATAACAAGCCTCTCCCTTCTTCTCATCCCTTCCCATCTCACACACTTTATTACAAATTTGTAATGTTTAAATTTTTTAAGGTACTTCTTCTTTTTTTTTTTTTTGTTGCAGAGTCTTGCTCTGTCACCCAGACTGGAGTGCAGTGATGTATCTTAGCTCACGGCAGCCTCTGCCTCCTGGGTTCAAGTGATTCTCCTGCCTCAGCCTCCCAAGTAGCTGGGATTGCAGATGTATGCCATCATACCTGGCTAATTTTTGTATTTTTAGTAGAGATGGGGTTTTACCATCTCTTGGCCTAGTTGGTCTCAAACTCCTGACTGCAAGTGATCCACCTGCCTCAGCTTCCCAAATTGCTGGGATTACAGGCATGAGCCGCAGTGCCTGGCCTCAAGGTACATTTTATGAAATAAAATATAATTTAAAAAATTAATTTTTGCTGCTACTGCAGGAAAAAAAAGGATCCTACTCAGTGGTCACATTCAACATGCTGTTTTCTAAGGTTTTTCTAAAACTATAGTTAAAAAAAGTCATTTCATTTTTCTATGCATAATAATATTTTCTAAAACAAACCATGCACAAATTAAAGAGATATGAAAGTAATGAATATGGCCAGGTGTGCTGACTCACTCCTGTAATCCCACCACTTTGGGAAGTTGAGGCGGGCGGATCATGAGGTAAGGAGTTTGAG